GTTTCTTTTTGAGGTGATAAAAGTACTCTAAAATTATTATGGTAATATTTGAACAACTGCAAAAATACACTAAAATCCATTGAATCTGTACGCTTCAAACTGGTGAATTTTAGGGGATGTAAGTTATCTAACAATAAAGGAGTTCAAAATTTTTGGGATTTGCTATGTTTAAATTCTTAAGAAAATTCCTAAGAAAGATGATTTTTACTGTCCCTTTCTTTTTACTTCTAAATACTATTCATAAAATGGCTTTAAAATATTTATTAAAAATAAGGTCCATCAGCCCCAGATGGTAAATGGTGATGACTATATTTCTTGGTATACTGAATTTTAACAAATCTTGAATGGACATTTAGATTGTTAGTAATTTTTCACTAATATAAATAAAAGTGCTTTCAACATTTTTGTTTACATATCTCTACAGAATTGTCATATGATTTCCTTTAGAAAAACTCCTAGAAATGAAATTCTGAGTAAAAGATATTCCTCTAGAGAAGCTATACTAATTATAATTCCAACAATGTTCAAGAGGAAAGCTCTCGAGAAAGCTTATTTCAGTTTTAACTTGAAATATGCTTGACTTCATGGTTTAGTATAAAAACTCGCAATAAGGAAAAAAACCTTGTAACAAAATACCAAATGGAAAAAACAGCCCAACAACAGCAGCAATACAAAACAATAATCAAAAATTATTTCAGCTGGCCAGGCGCGGTGGCTCACGCCTATAATCCTAGCACTCTGGGAGGCCAAGGAGGGAGGATCATTTGATGTCAGGAGTTTGAGACTAGCCTCAGCAAGAACAAGACCCTGTCTCTACTAAAAATAGAAAGAAATTAGCTGGACAACTAAAAATGGAAAACATCAGCCAGGCGTGGTGACACATGCCTGTAGTTCCAGCTACTTGGGAGGCTAGGGCAGAAGGATTGCTTGAGCCCAGGAGTTTGAAGTTGCTGTGAACTAGGCTAATACCACGGCACTCTAGTCTGGGCAACAGAGTGAGACTCTGTCTCAAAAAAAAAAAAAAAAAAATCAAATATATTAGGCTGAGCCTTACTCCAATTCTGACTTTAACTGAAAAGAAATGGAATATTTCATTACTTGACATTTCCTAATTGCAGGTTTTATAATTTAGAGCATTTCTGATTCTCTCAGAATGAACTTATCACTTATAAATTACATTTATAGGCAGAATACAATGAAAACACTTAGCTTTCTCAAATTAAAAAAAAAAAAATCTGTCTGCTGAGAGGCTTAGCAGCAATACAATAACCCCTCACAGCAAACACACCCAGTGACCAAATCTCTTAGTTTCTAACTATCATCTTCCAATAAAAGGAACTAGGGCTCTTTGGAGAGATGGATTATTCTAGGGCTAGAAAAGGGAAAATAAAAAATAACTGTAGAAAAATTGCAAAAACTTGGAAGCAACCGATGTTTTCTTCAATAGGTGAGTGGATAAATTGTGTTATATCCAGACAATAGAATATTATTTAGTGCCAGAAACAAATGAGCTATTAAGTCATGAAAAGACTTGACAGAACTTTAAATTCATATTCATATTACTAAGTAAAAGAGGATAATCTGAAAAGGCTCTGTAGTGCATGATTCCAACCATATGACATTCTGGAAAAGGCAAAACTGTGCAGACAGTAAGAAGATCAATGGTTACCAGCGGTTAGGAAAGAGGGAGAGATGAATAAACAGAGCACAAAGGATTTTCAGGGCAGCAAAAACTATTCTGTATTATACTGTAATTGTAAAATATATGCCATTAAACTCAGAACATACAACACTAAGAGTGAACTCTAATGTAAGCTATGTAGTTTAGAATGATAATAACTTGTCAGTGTAGGTACACAAACTGCAAAAATAAGAAGAAAAAAAATAAAGGTGGTAAACAAATTCCAAAAAACAAACAAAACTTGGGGCATCTTGTATTACCAGAGAATAAAGAAATACTTGAAGAATGGGGGCATGTCAAAGGGACATAAGAGTCAATCTGCATGAGTTCCCAATAACTATAACTAAAATGATTTAAGCAACAAAGTAAGTGACATGGTATTGAATGATAACCCAAAATATAAAATAAATATACATGAGCCCACTCTGGTATGAATGATTACATAAGTAAAAAAAATAAATAAGGGCAAACAGACAACATATCTTCCATAGAGAATTCCAAATACTCTCTCTCCAGGGAGGTGACGCTTAATTCCATTTCCCACTCCCCAAACCTTCACCCCCAGCAAGGGTATACTAGACTTAGTGACTTATTTCCAAAGAACAGAGTAGGGAAAGAGAAAAATAGTCCATTTCCACAGTGGGGAAACTTGGCAAACACTACCTTATCCAAGTGGTGAAGGTTAATATTACCATACCACATTCCCCATGATATGATGTGATAAGAGTACTTCACCTCTGTGGTATCTATAACCTCACATGAGAAAAACATCAGACAAACCCAGATTGGGATACATTCTACAGATCATGAAAAAGAAAGATTGAGAAACTGTCACAGACTGGAAGAGACTGGGAAAATGTGACAACTAAGTTTTATGTGGTACTCTGAACTAGATCTTAGAAAAAGAAGATATTCATGGAAAAACCGTTGAAATCCAAATAAGCTCTAGAATTTAGTTAATAGTAATGCACTAACATCAGGTTCTTAGTTTTGACAAATGTACTTTATTGTCATGGAAGATGTTAACAATGGGGGAAACTGGATGGGAAAGATACAAAACTGTGCACTCCTTTCAACTTTTCTATATAATAGTAATATTATTTTTATTTTGGAATAAAAGTTATTCCAAAATAGAATATTTATTTTTAAAAAATTTGCTTTAAAATGGAGCCATAAACTCACTAAACCAACATAGATGTTCTTTTGGAAAATGTTAACCTTCTAAATTTAACTACTATTTACTCTATTTTAAAAAGTCTGTTAATACTCTGGTTTCTCTTCAGATCATATAAATCTTTTGCCTTTTAAAAAGTCTGTTAAATAGAACTCAAGAAAAAAAGCTGAGGGAAAGAGGACTAACAGTTTCTCATCAGAGATTAAATCATGCGCTAATCAGAAACATTATGTACTGTATATTAATAGTCATAAAACTATGCATTTTAAGCTAGGAACATTTGACTAAAATTATTAGAAATACTTCATAATACACTAAAAAACACAAAACCTAATATTCCACCAATTTAATCTTCTATGAAGTTTCACTGGTACACTGTGTTCTGTGGTTCACTACACTTTACTGGGAAAGAGGCATATTTAATATACTAGTGGTATTATAGAGAAACAGATGTTTGGTAAATGTACACCTTTCACATATCGTGAGACTTCCGAGGGAGAAGATACCTTGCCTCTAACTTTATAAAAAAAGAAATAAATATTGAAAGGCTGCTAAGAAAGGTTACCCAAACCTTGAACATAAGACCGAAAGATGAATGGCGTTAAGGCGGCGATGCCCTTTCAAGGTAATATGGGGACACAGATCCATTCAAAGGTTATTTACTTAGAGGAATGTATTTGCTACATTATTCTATTTACTATTGAATTAAATATCTCAAATTAAGTGAAGTTACATATTAATTCATAGTTTTTTGTCCAGTAGAGTTGCAAATAATTTCTGTCAGGTAGAAGATATAATTCCAAACTTTAAGGTTTACTGGTGCATAGGACATCAACCCGTTTATAACTAACTTAGCAATCTTACTCCACCAATTATTAAATTGCCTATGAATACAGAGCTCCTGAGATGCTTTTAAAAATAGCCTTACTATTTTACTTGTTCCCTCAGTAGTTAATGAATTGAATAAAATCGTTGATACATATTTACTTTATTTTTGCATGAATTATGTTTTTAATTTTTTTTAATTATACTTTGGCAGGCATAAAGAACTTTCTGTGACATGCCTGACATGGTCTTTCTTAACATTCTGCTCTGCAAATACTACAATCTCACAGTTATATTATGATAGTTTTTCTGCACAGTATTCAGATAATGTTGTCAATTATTTGGTTATTGGAACTATCAAATAATACCTGCCTCAGAGATAAATCTGAAAAGAATATAAGTCAAGTGTAAGTTACTTTCAAGACCATCTTTATTCTATACCACTGACTTTCCATCCTGCCAAAATAGGTACAAACACAGAATGTGAATGATTCTACTACCTTTCCTGAGTTTTCTCATCTGTGCATTTTAAAAACAATGGGAAACACATAATATTCCCTTCTTTTCCCTCAAGTTATTTACTGAAAAGATTTTTAAGTCCCAATCCCTACATGAAAAAAAGAAGATATACAAAGGAAACTCAGTGCTTATTGAGTTAGCATTAAGAAATTATCTAGAGAATCACAGAACATAATATTTAGACAGGACTTTAAAGGTCTTCTTGCCCAATGCCCTATTTTAAAGCAAAGGAAAATTGGGCCTAAAGGAGCACAGTGACTTTCCAGAGGTCTGACAGTGGCTAAAATTCATGTGATCTGACTTAAAAGATTTGCTGATTTGTTGTATGCCTCTCACAATGGAGCTATGAGTTGATTTTATTTAAACCAATTATTGAAAAAAATGTTTTCTTCCATTTGTTCCAGGTATCTCTTTTTTAAATGAAATGGGCTAATACCTTGTTCAGGTGTGAATTATGAACTGGCTTTACTTGCATAAATATGACTGATTATAAATAAATTCTGATTACATGTTTGAAATTTAAGCAAGAAAAGATTAGTAAAAAGAAAAAATCATAACTTTATATTTTCAGGGGTACATTTTTCACTAAAAGCAAAAGTTAGATTAATGTGATTTTTTAAAGTAAGGAACTTGGATATTCTCAAGTTGTCAATGTAAATGTACTTGTGATAAATTCAAGTGAACTAATGATAAAGACATTTCAATTTTTAGGCTTGGGAAGGGAAGCACTATTTTACTCTCATCTAAACTAAATCTGTAAATGCAAAAGGGAAAAGCAAAAGAGAAAAGAAAATTCTGTACCCTGACATCACTTCTAGATGAAGTTGTCCTGAGACAGTTAAGAAAGCAGGAACATTGAAGAAATTCTCCTCAGGTAACTTTATTTTGCTTGAAGGCTGTAAATAAAAAACAGAAGCCACAAAAAGCTATTACATGGTGTGTTTTTCACATTCATATATATGTGCCACAACTAAAAATCATAGTGCAATTAAACCTATGCAAGGACAGGTCATTCTCATGAAAAATAAAGCACACATCTAAAAGAGAAAATGCCTGCCTGGAAAGTGCTGACGGAAAGGAAGGTTGCTCCATATTGCCAAAACACACAACCACCAAAGGACAAAGTGCTTTTGTCACAAAATACACTTCCCACTGAAAAGTGATTCCTTTTTTTTGGGGGGGTGGGGGGAGACATTTTCTCACTTTGTGTAGAGCTGGGCGAGAGTGCAGTGGGCTCATCATAGCTCACTGCAACCTCCAACTCCTGGGTTCAAGCGATCTATCTGCCTCAGCCTCCCGAGTGGCCGGGTCTACAGGCATGCGCCACCATACCCAGTTCATTTTTTCTATTTTTAGTAGAGACAGAATCTCAAGGTCTTGCTCTTGTTCAGGCTGGTCTTGAACTCCTGACCTCAAGTGATACTCCTGCCTTGGCCTTCCAGAGTGCTAGGATTACAGGTGTGAGCCACCTCACCTGATCTAAAAAGTGATTCTTATTATGGGACAAGCTTAGGCAAGAGATTATGAATTATAAATTTTAAATGTGAAGGATTACATAATCTCTTAAAATTGTGACCTATGATTACAACTTAATTTTCTCAAGGGAATAGCCTCTGAAATATGTGTTGCCATATAATTATTAAAAAAATAATAATGTTTTTAACACAGACTTTTATGAACATAAGCTTTGAAACACATTCAATTTTCACTGTAACTCAAGAGGAAGGAAGAACAGGACCCTATCTTTATTTATTTATTTTTTGAGACAGTTTTGCTCTGTTGCTCAGGCTAGAGTGTAGTGGCATCATCATAGCTCCCTGCAACCTCAAACTCCTAGGCTCAAGTGGTCTTCCTGCCTCACCCTCTCAAGTAGCTAGGACTACAGGCATGCATCACCACACCTGGCTAATTTTTTTTTTTTTTTTTTTTTTTGTAGAAATGGGGGTTTTGCTATGTTGTTCAGGCTGGTCTCAAACTCCTGGCCTCAAGCAATACTCCTGCTTGGCTTCTCAAAGTGCTAAGATGCCAGGCTAAGATCTTATCTTTAAAAGATCACTGAGTGATTAGACTTTTACGAACATACACTATGGACTGGGTCATTATTCCATTTGCAATGGGTAGGAAACAAGTCAGCTAACACTTATAAGAAGAATTGAGCTAAAAAACTATCTGGAGGACAAACACAATTTAAACAGTATAATTAAGAGAGCTTCTGAATGAAGTAATAACTATTATATTCATTTTTGGGGGAAGGAAGTTAAATTACCCTCTCTTGTATTTCAAACTGTGCATTTATTTGAAATTATATTAGTATAATGGCGCAGTTACTGTAAAAGCAATAAAGTCAATTTTAAATATGTAACAGAGGATGTAAGACTCCTTTAACAGACTTAGTACCAAATACTAGATTATGGAAACACATGATAGCTTATGTTATTTCATTGAGTATTCTAAAAATACTGAATATCATGTATAGATAGATATGAGTATGAATAAAAAATGTACTGTGAAAATTACTAATTGAATTTTTCATTTAGTTTTGTAATAATTGCCTATTATTTTTTTAAACTTATGGCAATACTGGTCTTAGAGGTTCTACGAATGTGTTTTTTTTTTTTTAAGTCCATCCTTAAATCCCTTTATCAATGAAAGGATATTGTTTCCCAGGACTTAAGTACTCAAGACTAAATACTTGATGTGATATGTGTTAGGACTTTAAAATAAAAAATATATTTTCCAATATTTTTTCACTGTTTACTGAAGAATTATTTTCCAAGTAAGTCCCAGCAAATTCGTAAGACTACCATAAAGTCTGCTCTTTATGACTAGATTTTAGCCTTTCATTTATCAGCATTTGTACAAAATAGATTCTGATCTTCTTCTATTTCCTAAACACAACTTATTTAAATGGGTGCAAATGTACTACTACTTCATTATGTCTTCTAATGTTATATGGAGCATTTACATACTAAAATTCATACTACTTTATTATAAATTACTTCCTTTTATTTCTCCTTTATATTACAATTAAGGCATTACATTGATTGGTAAAAACTTCTGTGTATATTAAGTTATATTACCTATAAATTTTATTTCAGAATATTAAATGACCATTATAAAATATTTGTTTTAAAAAGTAATTACTGAGAGTGACGTCAGCAAAAATGGTGGGGGTAGGTAGCTCTGAAGGCCTATTCCACCACAAAATTTTATTAAAAATGTTATCCTGGCTGGGCATGGTGGCTCATGCCTGTAATCCTAGTACTCTGGAAGGCTGAGGCAGGAGGATCGTTTGAGCTCAGGAGTTTGAGACCAGCCTGGGCAAGAGCGAGACTCCATCTCTACTAAAAACAGAAAGAAATTAGCTGGACAACTAAAAAAAAAAAAAAAAAAATATATATATTATATATATATATATATAAAATTAGCCGGGCATGGTGGCGCATGCCTGTAGTCCCAGCTACTCAGGAGGCTGAGGCAAAAGGATTGCTTGAGGCCAGGAGTTTGAGGTGGCTGTCAGCTAGGGTGATGCCACAGCACTCTAGCCCAGGAAACAGAGTGAGATTCTGTCTCAAAAAAAAAAAAAAAACCACAAATCCTGTCAGAATAAACTGTGAGAACTCTGGAAAATAGTTAAAAGTTTATAGCAACCAAGTAAATGAATGAATCAAGAATTAATGAAATGAATCAATGAATATTCAATGAATAAATGAATCAAGAAAAAGGCAACTTAGAAATGGTAGACTCCACCCAACAATAGTAGAATGCATGTTTTCTTCAAGTGCATGGGACCGTTCTCCAGGATGGACCATGCACTAGGCTATAAAACAAGTCTCAGTAAAATTTAAAAGACTGAAATCATGCAAAGGATTTTCTTGACAACAATGGAATAAAATTAGAAATGTACAATAATGGTGCAGTTACTGGGGAAAACAGATTGGTGATTACTTAAAAAGTTAAGAAAAAGTAGAATTACTATATGACCCAGTAATTCTACTCCTAGGTATATAGCAAAAAGAATTAAAATGAGAGATGTAAATAAATACTTGTACATGATTGTTTAGTACAGCACTATTCACAATAGCCAAAGATGGAAACAACCTAAATGTCCATCTATGGAAAAATGGATTAACAAAATGTGATATACACAAACACACAGAGGAATATATTATCCAGACATAAGGAATATCTGTTGTTTAAATTAAATATATGTACTTACATATCCTAAAACATGAATGAACTTTGAAAATATTATGCTAAGTGAAAGAAGACAGACATAAAAGATCACATATTGTATGATACACATGAAATATCCAGAAAAGGTAAATCCAGAGACAGTCATGGTCTGGGTATAGGGAGAAATGGGGAATAACTACTATTCAGTGGGTGTGGGTTTTCATTTGGGGTGATGAAATTCATCACCCCAAAACAGTGGTGGCAGTTGTAAAACACTGTCAACATACTAAATGCCATGGAAGTGTACCTTTTGAAATGGTTAATTTTATGATACATGACTTTCAACTCAGTTCTTTAAAGTAATTATTGAATCTCACTGGTTCAAAAACTGAATTGCAAATTAAGATTTAGGATTGCAATCTTTTTTTTGTTTTGTGTTTTTGAGGCAGGTCTCACTCTGCCTATACCTGGGCTAGAACACAGTGGTGTCATCATAGCTCACTGCAACTTCAGACTCCTGGGCTCTAGTGATCCTCCTGCCTCAGCCTTTCAAGTAGCTGGGTCTGTGGGCTCACACCACCATGCCTGCTAACTTTTCTATTTTTTTGTAGAGAAGGGATCTCACTCTTCCTCAGGCTGTTCTTGAACTCCCCCACCTCAAGCAATCCTCCCACCTTGGCTTCCCAAACTCCTAGGATTACAAGTGTGAACCACCACAGCCAGGACTGCAATCTTAAATTTGCAATCTCAAATGCTTCTGTTAGTAATGAAGAAAGAAGAAAATATATAAATTAAACACCCAACTCTGTGATCATGCCAGTGGTGAAGGATTTCTTTAACAAGAGCCCCAAATTATAAATGATAAACTGAAAATTGATGTATTTGTATATATTAAAATTAAGGATTTCTATTTAATAAAGGAAGACATAGGCAAAGTTAACAGACAAATGACTAATTTGTAACATCTAAAATCAACAAATTATTAATGGATAGAATATATAAGGACCTCCTGCCACAAAAACAAGAAAGAGAAAATAATCTGCTCCCCAAATGGGAAAGCAAATTTACAGAAAGGGAAACTCAAATGGCTAAAATGCATATGAAGAAATATGCAAACTCAATAGGAACTAAGGAAATGCAAATTTAAAGAAGGGCATTTCAAGAACACTTTATATACATCAGATTGACAAAAATTAGAAAGCTGTATAGTATCAATTGTAGGTGCAGATTCAGAGTATGGTAGACAGAATTCTAAGATGTGCTCTCACAATTCCCAACCCATGGCTATTGAATCAAACACTAATCTAGGTACTGATGTGAAGAGATTTTACAAATTTAATTAAAGTTCCAAATCAGATGATCTCAAGATAAAGAGATTACCTGACCTAATCACACAAACCCACCGAAAACAGAATGTTTTCCACAGCAGACTGTAAAAGAGGAAGTCAGAGATTTTAAGGACAAGGGGTCAACATGACGTGGCTGCTTGAAGATGGAGACGGACACATGAAAACATCCTGAGAGTAGTGCCTAGGAGCTGCAAGCAATCTGGACAGCAGCCAGCAAGAAAATGGGCACTTGAGTCCTACAACCACAAAGAAATGAATTCTGCTAATAACAGTACTGAGTTTGGAAGAGAACCTCAAGCTCCAGATGAGAATTCAGCCAGCTGAAATCTTAGTTTCAGTGTTGTAAGACATAAGTCTTTAAGTAGGGAACC